TGTGTCGTCTTCTCAATTCAGAGGGCCCCCTGCCTGTCTTTTCCTAAGGCCCCAAATCTCCTAACTCTGCCCCTGCATGTATGTTTAGTTTGTGCCTTGTAATATGGAATCTCAGCATGTTTTTGTGACTGATTCTGGATAAAATGCTCCAGAAATGCAGCACCAAGTATTGCCCCACCTTATCTCGGAGCTGGGGGAAGATGGTTAGAGCCCATTCCAGCAGCTCTTTGGCCATGCTCTCCTTCATATCCTGGTATTCTTGGCCTCTCTTGCCAACCTTGGTCTTCTCCCAGTCCTCAAACCACTCATAGCGCGCCATGGTAAGCAATGTCATACAGGATTTACCTGTCAATGATTATACATATAAAAAAAAAACACAATAAAAAAGGAACATGTGAAAGAGAAAGGTTTGGCGTGAGGAGGTTAATTTGGGGTCCAATTTAGCAAAAACACAAAAGTAAAAGAGGAGTCGGTCAACAATGAAGGAGCTGCTCAACAGTTCTGTGGTAAAGTGAATAGTTCTACCTGGTTGTCTGATGGTGGATGATGGGTCTTTAGCAGATGGGAAGGTGATGAACATCATGGGGATGTTTCCTAGAACCTGCTCTCTCTTCAAAGAACAGTATTCCTCCATACTGCCACCATGATGGCGTCCGCCCACAGGGAAATAAACCACACTTAATTCTTCTTGCAAATGTATCCCAACTTTCAACATCTTCACCTTGCAGCAACCAACTTTCCAAATATAAAAGTGCTATAAAACTAAAAAGGAGATGCAAAAGGAAGAACTTTTAATTTTAAACATAATAATCTATCCCCCCAAATCTATAATCTACATAACTACATTTTGCACCATTTTACAGTTGCATCCCTTTACCAGAGGTTTCTCTAAGCTTTGCACTTTACAGACACACATTTTGCCTGTTTTACTTCCCGTAAAAACTCAATTCAGTCAGATTAGATCATTGTAATATGTTTTTAAGTCTCCCCACATATTTTCAGTTTTGCCTTCGAAATTGTTTCTTACTTCATAGGCGAGTTTATGGTGGAGATCTTTTTCTAATGCAAGAATGGTGGATGATTTTATTTCCCTACTTAAATCAAGAGCAAATCTATTGCTTGCGTCAATCATTCTGTGCATCTGTG